CACCGCCGTCTCACATTGTATTGTTCACGAACGCAAAACATTTGAAGTGTTCTTTCGTCACAATCTGGCGCTAGATTGTTCGCTGTCTGTTCGGTTTACTTCTGTGAACTTACTGGCAGCTGAGATTTGTCCGCTCAGGTGGCGGTTGCCTTTATGATAGTTAGAGACCTCTGCAACTGTAAGTGACATCATGTTTCCAACAGAAACGGTGGCCCCTGAGTAAGTTCAACGTCCTGTCTGTAACTTGCCGAACTGAATTCCTTGAGGCAGTATCCCCCGCCATAGAGAAAACTCGGTTACAAGATGGATTTCTGCAGTCCTACGCCTGAACGGAGGTATTCTGAGGTCGATGGCCATACCGTTTGGGGCTCGAGGCAACTGCATTGGGTTGTTCACGATGTTCATGAGCGAAGAGTTGCCCATGACCAACCAACACGTCAAGCCTACGCAGTCCCGTGCGGTGTGCAAGCATCCGTGAAATGTTCTCACAAGGGATACGTTGTTCCCCAACAGACGAGCGCACCTCAATCCACGGACAAAGCAGTCACAGATAGCACAATCGTGCTGCGCGTAAATCACGGAAGAAATCTTTCGTAAATGAATCTGCCTTATGAGGCGTTTGAGCTGTAGTTCCATTCAAGCCGACTGAAAACTGCAGTTGTTAGCTTCATCTTACGTTGAAACGTTACGAATACGACCCGGATACTGAGGTTACATGGACCGTTCAAATGCATTTCGCGACACCACCTGAGGCACCTGGAGGTCAAGTTACGAAAAGCACTTAATTTTTCCGAGCCTAGATCGGCAGAAATCCTTTTGGAAAACGACAAGAAATTGGTAATTGAAACGACACGGTGTGAATTATACCCGCAGTCCTGATCATATCGCACAATTGCGGTACAAATGGCTTGTCTTCAGACTTGCCTCAATCCGATCCTACTTACAGGATTCACTGACACCTCGACAACCTTTTGAATATCAGGTGACCGGAGTCATAAAATCTTCATTGCTCTTACTTCGTACTTATACAAAAAATGCGGATATATAGAGTCGAAGCCTCATTTAGAAACCAAGTGTTAGCGCTAGACTCAAATGAACCTGTCGCTATTAAGGTCCTGCAACCGAATGCGATAAACAAACATCGTCTAACGGCTCAATCGATCAGTTTTCGTCACAATTTTCATTGGCGGATTCAATGTTGTGCTTGAACGACTATTAAAACTTATGTAACGAATACCATTGCAATATGGAACTTGTTCCCCAATAGCTGAAGGCACTGTTGTCATTTTCACCTGGCATGCTAACCGGGCCTGATGGCAAATTCGTCACGCGAAAGCGCGAACTGGAGACAGTTTGTGTGCAGACCACTCTAGTTTAACCCACTGCATCAATTTTCCAGTCGGATATATCTGCTAGGATGCAACGAACGGGCCCTGCAACATGACCACCAATTTCGGTCAATCTACCAGTCCACCCGCCACAATACCACGTTGAAACCGTAACGATGCGGAATTAGATCAAAATGTAGTCTAGGCTGGAAACACACCCAGCACACCAATTATCCAGGAATAAAAATCCCCACCCGGGACTCGTGGGATGTCCCGTTGTCAGGAAGTCAGATGTACTGGACCCTATCTCAGAAGTCGCTCGATCTGCGTACGCACGAACCACATAGACAGTACAACAATAAAGGTGACTGTGGGTTAGGAGAGTGACAAACCACATCCGCAACGCCTCCTCAGCAATTGCAAGTCACCGAATTGCTACCTAGTGCTGTTCACTCGTTCTCCAACCAGTGACCAACTGCTGTATGACTACGGAACACCAACACCGCCAGTCTGCTAACACCTGTAGCGTTACGATTACAGTCTAATGCTCCCTGGCCCACTTAAGACGATTCTCCTTGTTTTTATGAAACTCCCTGGTCGTTTGCGAATTTGTATGCTCTCCGCAGGTCGCTAAGCGCGGCTCTCCTGGCGTTGGACCCTGAAACCATAGTTAGGGAGAAAATTGCCCTCAGTCCACTAACTCTAGTTGGACTGTTTTCAAAGCAACACAGAATCAAAACTGTCCCGACATGTGCAGTGAAACCTGTCACTAAAAGTCGCCCTCAAGTAGGGATACAATTGATACAATCGGGGAGACTGTTGGACATTAGGTACAGCTCCATGGGGCTAAAAGCTTACTATCATAGGAACGGTTTCTTTAACGAGTACGTGGTACCCCACAACATTCGTCGTGAAACCGCATTTGGAATAAGTCGAACAACTAACGCACTTGAGCGATGCCGTATCATAACGAATTGACGAGAAAAATGTAGACGAACCACGTATCAAATTAGTCCGGCACCTTTGACTGTTTCAGATGGGAAGATGAACCAGAACCTGTATTTGACCGCGGGTTGAACCTTAAAGCGAAACCCTAATTCACGTGCTAAGAAACTAGGACATACCACGCCTTGATCAGTGTGAGACCAACCTATGGTCATCCCTTCTGAATTATTATCCGGAAAACGACGCAATCGATGGACAACCATACCATGGATAAGGACCGTGTTAACCAGTCTCCCATCGGGTGATCCGTACGGAGGGGGAAATCTCAAAACTAAGAAACACACCGCTGTAATTCAAATTGAATCAATAAGGCCTAACTGAATCTCCTGTCTTTGATATTATCCAACTGTGCTACAAAAACCCCGATTGGAATGTCGGAGGTTTCCTTGAGAAAGCGCTAATTATGATGTGAACGAAAACCGCTCCACAGATCACAGCCAGTTTCATCCTTCTTGGGACTCACCGGGTGGACCTAGCTCGCGAGTTTTCACTTACCTTATTGCCTACGTCAACACTAACTCGTGCGTAAAAAACACCCAACTGCGAACTGCATTGGTTTTGACAGACACCCAAGTGAACCTATTACGTTCTACTTGAACGACTTAGATACTACGTTTACCCCATAAGCAGAAGGGCGAAACCGGAGACGAGGTGCTGAACTTTCCAGTGACTTTGTGAGTAGGCCCTTCAAGGTAAACGAGTAACCATCAGCAAACATGAGTGGATGCACCCAGATTATGGATGGTATACACTACAAAGCGGCCGCGATTCATCGGATCTCATATACACAGACGCACCCGAGGGATACAAAGAGTTCGCAACGCGTGACCTGGAGGGAATCTGCCCATGCCAGAAAGGGATGGGCTAGGCGAAACCTATGGATTCGAAAACAGATACTTGTGTATGGAATGGCCCGTGGGAGTGCTCCTGTTGCTGCTCATCTACCCGGACTATTGACTTTGTGGATAGCACAGTTCAGGTTTTCCCCTGGTCTAATCGGTATTCACGACCGCATCATGAAAACACATGGCAGTTGACGTGATTCCGCTACAAGTGACAAGCGACGGCATCAGCAACGAAAGCTGCTTAGGGCCTCCACCGATCCAGCTCGTTTGCCTAGGGTTGGTTATCGGATCCGGATAACAGGAAGCTTAATCAGCCACGTCTAATTGTTTCTTTGCTGTGAACTTAGTGGTATTGTGGAGAAACTAACTGAAATGCTGACAGTTGTATTTATTGTTCACAACTTAATACAAACCTGGGGGTAATGGTAAACCTCCCCTGGAGTTAAGGATTTAGGGACAAGTGCAATGCGACGAATAACGCCACTTATCACGACAGTAAAAGTGTGGTAGCGGAGATAATGCCTGAGCTTCAGCTCCCAATCAACATAATCAACTGCACACACACACACGGGTGAAAACGAACCGGCGTAAGATTGTGACACGAACCAATCCAGTAAACATCGAGACCGTCCGGTGACAGATTATAGTGGCGGATGGTACTGACAGGATTTGCACCCATCACTAAAGTCAAAGTGTATACATCACACCAAATAAGTATGCAGAGTGATTTGGCCAGAAAAACACCAAGCCACAGAGGTTCACTGTAGTGTCGCGCAGCACCTCGTCAACAGGTTGGGACGCATTAGGAAATACTTGCTCCTCTAGGCATATGGCTACGCCCGCTGCACAGTACGATACAGTTAGGGTTCCCAAATAGCCTATCCGATATTGATGGAAGATGGTCCCCAAGCCCGTGAGCAGAGAAAAGCGTCTAAGGGAAACTGCAACAATGTGTTGGTTAGTGGTAAACGTCGTTGGCAGTGATGTCATGCTATCGATGATGATGAAACGTTGTTGGCAAGTAAGGCACGGATCTGCCAAACAGATTAATTTAAAAGTGAACTAACAACCATAGAAAGACACTTGAACGTGCAGCAATCGGCAGTGATGGCTATCGATGATGATGAAACGTTGTTGGCAAGTAAGGCACGGATCTGCCAAACAGATTAATTTAAAAGTGAACTAACAACCATAGAAAGACACTTGAACGTGCAGCAATCCGTGGGTCGCAACAGCTATGTGATTTTTATGCCAACCATTACGACTACCTGTGCAACACCACAGGATCTTGAGGGTTCCATCAATATTGGTTGTTTCTAGTTCCAAGTGAAATGCCTAAGATAAGCTAGGAGACAGTCCACCTGAAATCGCACCGATAACCGGTAATGATCAGCAAACACCACCAGCTGCCTGGCCGTATATATTGACTACGGAGACTATTTTCTCTGCGCAACCTGGAGGGTGGACAGCGTGTGACTTAACAGAAGGGTGTAGGATTACAAAGAGTTCAGGCGTTGCTGATTCCATGGTGGAATCGCCATGGCCTCCCCATCACGCTTGGTTGGAGACACTGTAAGAAACGGCAGCTAAAAGATGTCACTGGCGTTTGTGTTGTTTCTTTCCGGATTGTCTTAGCCACCCACAAAAGTTAGTGATAAGTCAGCGCCAGGTCCCTCCCTAGTTCACTCTTTCTCCTTTTCGCTTTGGGGCTTTGAATATACTCAGATAAACTGGTCGTACGGTGTGTTAATGCTGATTTTGCTGACAATGATGATAACGATTATCATTGAGACAAACGTGTACATGCTTGTCATGCAGTGTGGTTGATTTACTCGAGTCTTTTCGAAGTCCTCAACAATTCTCGGGAATGATTTGGCTTCGGTAAGCACAAGTGACGAATAAGGATCTTCGCGACCAAAGAAGCTGGGGCCAGATGGACGGGGATAGGGTTGATGAGTGAGGACCCGAAATGAACGTAGAAAATTGCAAAAACCGACAGCGTTCAGTGGTTCTGTCAATAGAATGGACTGACAGATGCACAAATCACTCAGAAACAGAGATACTACTTGCAAAACCTAGACGTCCCTTGTAAGCGAAAGAACCCTGGGTTAAAATATATGTACAGTTTATTCTAGAAAAATCGGATGAAAGATAAACACCTCAATAATCTTCCGCCCCTTCAGGAGGACGTCGAGCGGCACTGAAGGGCGACGGGTTGCGTTTGACGGACTTAGAAGGATAGTCGTGGCGGTGTCGATCACTTGGGCGACGTGAACGAGATCGTGACCGATCATGCCGACGGCGGTCGTCTCTGTGGTCATACCTCGAAGAATGACGGCCTTCATCGCGATGGCCGTGACTGCGCCGGTGTCCGTGGGAACTAGACCGGGGACTGGAAATGAACGTTACCAATAATAACTAGTGTGCCGCGACTAATCGCCTGCCACGATAAAAACAACCAAGTAGGGCAAGTTTCAATTCGTAATATGAAATCGCCGTGTTTACGTTATTTAGGATAGGCGGGAAAAATAATGTACCTTCTGGTATTGGGTCCCTCCGTAATAGACGAAGAATCCAATTTACCTAATAAGCGAAATTAAAACTGTGATGAGTACCTGTTATAGACGAATAAGAATCCCACTGATTCAACGCAAAGCTTCAGCGCGACAACCTCAGCTACCTTAAGAGAATAATCCCGCACCGCCTACCTGCGGTCGTCACTAAAACGACGTTCACGGTGTCTTGGAGAACGGTCTTCGAGTGTTCTACCTTCGCGCTTGAAAGGTCGGACTGGAGATCGCCGTCGTTCACTGAATTGCCTCAAATAATCCCGAATCTTCGCATAACCCAAGTGCATTTTTCCAGACAAATGTTCTTCAACGCGTTGGGGAGCATCGTCTTTGATACGGAACGCCCCGCAGATTTCACAGACTTCGAGCTCCTTCGTCTGTTAGAATGGTGTAATAACAAGAAAAACGAAACCTACCTGTGACATTCCAGGGCGAGCATCGCCCTCCAACTGGGATCGTTCGAATTTGAGTTGTTCGCAGAGTTTCAGCACCCCCTGTGCCTGATCAACCTTACCTTCAGTGCCAAGCTCCTCAGCTTGTTTGACTAGATCATTTATCCGTTTCGTTAGGGCGGCAATCTTTTCCTTTTTCTCAGTGGCTGTAACCGGATCAGGGTTGTTCAAACACTTGTTGACAGCTAGGCGCTCATGACCCCGTCTTATTCGCTTTTCCACATCATCCAGCAAGTGTTTCAAATACTGAACAAATTCCTCTTCGTATCCCATTTTTCCGCACCGTTTGCTCCGTTTATATGCGTCCTTCATTCGGTCGTCGTGTGTTCTCGTACATGGTCCCAGGTCTGTTTTCGTATTGACGAATAAATCGTGTGGGCAGAAGCCACAGAGGAAATACTTGCAAACATCTTCATCAGACCAATGAGGGCCACTTGCATTCTCTCCGTTGCAGGCATTACGATTCTTACCCATTAATTCATCTAAAAGTGCCTTTTGAGCAGCCAACGCCATTCTGATTAAAATCCTGGACCTGAAGACGAAGAAATAGAATGGATAAGTTTTTTCGGAAGTAGAAATGACATTGCCCGCACCTGTTTAGAGGACATCGTCCACTCCCCTCCCCATGATATTTAATAGAACACATCTAGCCCTCGCGTTCCTCTAAAAAAGTTGCGTAACCAATGTGCCAGTACATTCGAAATCTACCATCGGACAGGGTATTTAAAAAACAGGAACATGAAGAAATGAAGTTAAACTGGGTAAACCTTAATCTGAAACATGAAGAGAAGTCGGAAACACAGTGTGAAATTAAACATCCAGCTGCGAATTACAAGTGTCCACAGAGAACCTGGCTCGAACTTCAACTGAAATTATAAATGTACTTCTCTTGACACTACTTATTAAATCCAAGGGCTTCAAACCTTATTGGTATCATGCCATGGAAAGGTCCAGGGCTTAGTAGCCCTTGAAAACGATAGGTCCATGCCATGACGATTTTGGTGTCCTATTGGTGAATGATTTCAAGTGAAGGCCAGAAAACGAGTGCCCAAAACATACCACAGTAACTAGCGATATAATAGAGTGAACGTTACAACAGCGAGAGGAAAGGTCGAAGATAAGCCACTGGGTAGAGATGGCGTGCCATGTTTTGCCAGGTCTGGTGAAATAATGGCGGGTACTCAAGGAGAATCTGAGACCTACAGATGAGAACAGTCTGGGGGAGGAATATTCAGGAGCGGAATCTCAACGAATCCAACTAAGTTCACAACTTAACACGGGATGACTAGGAACAGCTGTTAAAATCCAATGAGCAAAGAAAGTTGGCTATCATGGTACGCATAAGGAATATGATGGAGGTGGATAAGCGAATAGAAAACGCAAGCGATTGAGTGCAACTGTTTGACGGTCTCGTTATGAGGCTGGCCCTTAGCTTACAGGGCATAACGTAGCATAAGAACGGCCGTTGAACAAAGATATGCATCTCCAATGTGACTCAAGTTTTGGTTGATGGTGCACGTCTTGTTGATTCTTCACTGCCTTGTAGCCACCGTTCTTCGAGACGGTGTGGACTTTGGGATCCCTTTGAGAATTAGCAGTTCCTAAACCGGTGTACAGAAGCCCGCGTAGTCCCACCATTTGAGATTTGTACAATTCTATTATCTTAGTATTGTACCGCAGTCGTCCATAAACCTTCATTTGGACGACTTGGGTTTTGGGGTTTTGCCCAATTGAGTCCTGGAAACAACCAATACCTCTAACCTTTTCATGACCAAGTGCAAACTGCAAGGCAGCAGTTTGAGGGCTATCGTGCTGAGGCATTAGGGGATAGGTCTGAAGTACATGAGGGGCGATAACACCCAAATTCACACTGACGGTTGCTCCGGAGAGATGGCGCAGGAATTAGCAGACCTGTGTGACAAAATGAAGACTGATACCAAGTTGAACAGCGTTAGGAAAGAAAGTTACAGCAAGTGCCACTGGATTCGGAAGACACCAGTAAGCGCTCCTAACAAGACATGATCGTCGCGAGACTCGATGCGGTGAGCGTCCCCAAACCTTTCGTCTTTCTGGTGAGCTACTTCGAACAGCTCCCGGTTTCGAGAAGAGCACATACCAATTAGGCTTGTTTTGAGATACGAATATGCTCAAGAGGATTGTTAAGTATTCTTTGTCTAAATATACGCCGACAGACATGATTCTCCCACAAAACACGGATTACTCGCAGGCACTGACGAACAAAGAAATTCAAGACTTCGTGCGTAGGTGGTACGACTTACTGCTCAAAGAAGGAACAGACTGCACACAGGTGTTTAGGGGGTGTGAGGGTGCAGGCAGCAAGGTTTGACCGAACTTAGAGCCAAAAGTTAGTTGAATTACCCGCACTCAACATTCCGTATGTCTTTTACTGCTGGTCATTAGTTTAACACCCAGTTTTTCTACGGTTTTAAAGTCCCGAACCAGTGTCAGTTTTATAAAAATTGCCTAATGTGGATGCCGCCCTTAATTTGTAAACAAACGTTATCGAGTTCCCTCACTCATTACCAAGTTCATTTAGAGCCTCGATTTTTGGTATCTGCCTAAACTGGTTATAATCCATACCGGAAGGAGAGCACCCAAGATTTTCAAGCCTCCCAAGTAATTGATAACGAATCGTCAACTGATAAGGAATTCGGCGTCAATTTTTCCTGCAGCGGTATTACCGGTGCTTAAGGGCCCCTGATTTCGGTTATCTGAATCACACGAAGAGATTCGTGGACTGTTGTTATTCGCTGATCATGTGTCAACGAACAGTATTGGAAGTGTTCCACTGTTTCGACATGCGCCTCGCACTTTCAGTAGTCTTAATTCAGAATTTCTCACTCTTCTATGCTACTTTAAAACTTCGAACCGAAGAGGCTGAGATTATCAGTTACTTTGCTTAGCTTAGTAGCTATGTAAGTCATGACACTACCGCGCACGCAATCAAGGCACGAGCATCTCTGACCTCAGAAGCGAACTTCAGTGAGGATGGGGAGCCGTCTCTCCGACTCCTCTAATCAAGAGGAAATCGTCCAAATTTTCAGTTAAGTGAACGCTAACTGCTTGTATGTCCGTAATGAACCGGTTCGTAGGCGAGTAGAAGTTAAAGTGTTGGACTCGCTAGAGCAGTGGATATGGCTTGTCACGCAAGTGAAGTATGTAACAAGTATGCCCGATGCGCGTTTTCGACTCCGATCATTTGTTGGAGTAAAATGAGCAGCAACACGAAATGAGTGGTTACAATCTGAGAGCCGTGGGGTATTCATGCATCCCTGTAGGGGGCCAAAGTGATTCCTCATGTTGTGCGAAACTGCAGGACAATGCAAGTAACCGGCGCCCCTGACGAGCTTGCTTCTGGCAGGATCACCTGGCTAAAAGTTTGTTCATCTCCATGAGCTGATATTGCTAGGGTGATTCCCAAAGGACGTTGGGTCAATGCTGCCAATGGCGTGTTGCACAAACACTGTTCAGATGTATTTACCTCCATGGTTTCAGAAAACGTAGACATCCTGTTCTTAATCGTCTTCCGAAAACGCCAACGGCTTTTCCCAACAAGGCCCTAGCCCCTTCCCTTCGGTCTTTCCCCCAAACTTGTCCCACGGTTTTATGGTACCTAAGCGTCCAATTCCACGGTGGATGCATTGTACTACCTGATATAGATTTGCCATCTTGATGTTTGGGCTTGAGTGCTGCAAGAGTGGCGAAAGCAGAGAGGTGGCCAATCCTTGACTCGGTAGAGAAGTATGAAGGAGATTACGAAACGCTTGGGTGCTATCGGTGCTACTCGCCTTACGTGATGGGGACCGCGTGATCCCCACTGCACCTGGTTGGAGATACAAGATATGGCTGTCAACCGATGTCAATGGCGTTCTTGTCAGTTCCTACCCAGATTGCCTGAGTGAATGGCTGGAGGTGTATGACTGTAGTAAGCTAGTACCAAGTTCCTTCCCAGTCTTCTTTACAATGAGGCTTTCAAATAAATCATGGTTATACGGCAGCGAAGTATCGTTATTAACCACTGATGTCATACTGTCGGTGATGGTGATGATGATGAGTGCTGCAATGATCCCACGGGCTAAATAAGCTAGAACTTTATTCCACAAGGTGCAATCATGTCGGGAAGGCCAAAGGGAACCAGTTAGACAAAGAGCAGCGGGACCTAGTTGTTAGGACGGTCAGATCCTGACTAACAGTTCGACCTTATGTAACATTTCACTGAGATTTCATTTCCTCTTAAGTGAGCCGCAGTGCTCTTTCATTCGTTGGTTCATCAGCAGTATAGCCGATCTTCATCCAATTTCCTTTGGCTTCTTTGAGAATTTTCCACTCAAGGACTACACCATTGATGTGATAGGATAAGTTCCATAGAGTTCCTAAATGACCCAGTCAGCACTTAGACCAACACTGGAGACGGGTCTCCCAAGATATCAATTTCAGCTGATCAACTTCAAGTGATTTTTGGAAACCAGCAAAAGCAGTGTGAACACGCGCAACTGCAATAACAAAAGCAATGTGAGCACGCAGCCGAAACTCACAGAAACGCTGACCAAAAATCGGAGTGCTCAGACACCAGGAAGCGATATAAGGCAACCATCAATTTCATCTGCAGACACCATTCCTAATTCTACCACCGAATTCATTTTTGATGCGGATGCATGTCGAAATTTCGATTCTTGGCACAAAAATACTAAGGTATATTCAAAGTTGACTTCGCCAAGCAAGATGACCCATGGAAGTCACAGGTGTCAGTTCGGGAAATTGGCACACATGAAAATAACCGTTACACAAATTACATACTTCCTAAAGTCTAGTGATCTCAGCTTCGACAGCACTAGCCAGATCCTCACGCAAACCGTTGGGGACAATACGTATTTGTTTATCATCCGATACTAATGCTTTAATTTGGTCATGGGGTTTTTACAAAACTTGTCAGTCGAGAACGCATTTCAAACTAAGCTATATGAACGAAAACTAATTCAAATGCCTTATATTCATATCTGGCATTCAGTCATCTCGTCATGCTAATATTCGAACAAGACTCATGGGCCAACTTGAACAAAACCAAAAGATAACCTTAGGGGAGCTCAGTACTGAATGTCACCGCCTCATCCAACGGAACTAGGACAGCACAGTAATCGGCCAGGCATCAGCTGGCTCATACAGCATACCGGAGACAAGAATGAGGCGTTTCAGTGCAACTCTCTTCTCAGACACCATGAGCTTTCTACACACTGTTGGATTTCTGGTGACCCGCTTTTGCCTGTTCAGAAAATACCAATGCCAGATGGGTCGCCGTATTGGTCATAAAATGTTTTGTTTCCCACAGAGAACGCTGACTCATCACCGAAACAGCACAATTCAGACAGCGGACAGAATTCGTAGTTTGTGTATCGCGTCCGGAGAACGCAGTGCCAATTACGCAAACGTCGTGGAGACGTCCCTTTCCGAGATCTGGGCAAACGTAGACTATTCAGTCTGATACCAAAAGATGACTAGTTAAACCATACTTT